GGTTGTTATAAGTTCTGAAGCTTAACGTTAACCTTTTTGGGGGATGTAAGTTCTGAAGCTTACCGTTAACCCATTATTTTTGGGTTTCCAAAAGAAACCATATTCTTCCGTTTAATATGGGTTGGTGATATGGTTTCACGTTGAGCGTCTTACGTGAATGTACTTACTAAGAAATTCTGATAACTTAAAATTCAAAATGTACTTACCGTCCAGATAAGCTTCAACATTAGGAATTATGAAAGTTACTGAGAGAATCCACATTGGTGTAATAACGTTTCGCAACGTAACTTGTTAGAAACCGGGTTTCGATACCCGTGGTGGCCAGAACACAGATAGCCCGTTGTGTAGCTTTGTGCTTAATTACAAACAAACAGCCTTTAAATTAAATCTTAAACAAATAAAATCAAACTCTGTATCTGTTTGTTCTTAGGAGCAAAGCTGCACCTTGGGCTACCTGGGCTGTGCCCACCTTCAGGATGGACCGTGAATTTTAACGTTATAAGCCCTCAAGCTTACCGCTTAGGCACCGGGGGGTGGAGGAGATGACTAAGATAAGATTAAACAATTTTACCGGTCGTTTATTTAAATTACGAAATATAATTTAGAAATCTAATTGCTAGACGCATTCCTAAGTTGCCTTCCGATGGCTCAGCGGTAAGTGTGAGGGGCTTATAACGCTAACAATCGGGTTTCCATACTTGCAGTGGCCACAACACAGATAACCTTTTCTGTAACTTTGTGTTTAATGACAAGCAAAAACAACAAACAAACAAATATTTCCACGTTTACATTAATGCTGACGTCATACATGTGTGTGTGTGAGAGACAGACAAAAAAAAAAGACCCACCTTTATCGAGACAGAGCATGTGCATTTTCTTCTCTCTGTAACTTGATTGGCTGAAAGCTGTTCGCCATATTTTTAGATTTTTCTTATAATGAGTAAGTAGAGCAACAATTCAGACCAGAAAACCTTCCGACTTCATCAAGGATGCACATTTCCTTATAAGAACAATAAACGTTATTGTTTATACATATAATGAAGCGTAGTAAGTAATTCTGAAATTGGTAAATCACATTCTATACCATTGTCAATGTAACTGAAATAAGATAGGTATATTAAAAGTTACAGTTTTACATAATAAAAAGAGAATAAATTATGTTTCTCAGAAAGTACAACCCTATGTACCAACTGTTACCAGTTCCCTTGTGGAACAGTGATAAGTCTACGGTTTTAAAACGACTAACTCTGTATGTTTCTCAGAAAGTACACCCCTACAACGACTAACTCAGTATGTTTCTCAGAAAGTACAACCCTATGTACCAACTGTTACCAGTTCCCTTGTGGAACAGTGATAAGTCTACGGTTTTACAACAACTAACTCTGTATGTTTCTCAGAAAGTACACCCCTATGTACCAACTGTTACCAGTTCCCTTGTGGAACAGTGATAAGTCTACGGTTTTACAACGACTAACTCTGTATGTTTCTCAGAAAGTACACCCCTATGTACCAACTGTTACCAGTTCCCTTGTGGAACAGTGATAAGTCTACGGTTTTACAACGACT